CGGGCCGTAGTTTGCCCACGGCTGTGTTAACTCCAACAGAGAAACTCCCCGTGGGTGGTGTGCTCAGAGCAGCTGCCCCTGTGTGGACATTCTCCCCCCGGAGCACCCATGAGGGGCTGGGTACATACAAGCCGGGGCCCCAAAGAGCAGTGTCTGTGGGGCCTCAGGATAACCCCATTTCTCCAGGGCACAGCCAGCACTCTGCCCTCATTGGCCTAAGGGGGCCTCGACTCATGGACCACAGGCCAGCCCGCCAAGACACAGAACCTTCAGGAGCTCGGCCCTCAACTCCTCCTCCTCAGCTTCCGTCAGACCCTCAACAGCAGGCGTCTGGGCAGCCACTGCCGTGTCAACAGGGACATCCGTCATGGAGTCGGACAACGGACCTTTGTTAGGAGAATTCAGGTTGATATCTGCCAGAGACAAAACAAGGCCAGAAAGCGCCAAGTAAGAAGTTATGGAGAAGTCCATGGGACAGAGGAGAAAGAAAGGGTGAAAGGACAGGTGGCGGGGGAGGACTGGACACTAACAATGCCTCTTCTCTGAACGGTTTTGTGAAGATGGTTTGGTCTATCTGCCTGAGGGCAGCCACACCCCAGACCACCCCAGATGCTGCTTCAGGGCCTGGAAATGCTGGTGCAAGGCAGCCATACCCTTCCTCTGCTTCCCCTGCGAGAACACTATCTCCAAAGCAGAGCACTTTGCTATAAGGCAGCCCAATCTAACAGATCTGCCATTTTTAGAGGAAAAGAACACAATACAGCTATAAACACAAGCGCCCCTTTCCAAGCAACTGAGCTGCCAGAGCCCATGCTACAATACATGCAAGGAGCACATGTCAGTTGTCTAGCCCTGCAGGGCGTCGGCAGCACAGAAATGCCCTTTGTTCACACTGGACCTCGCCCCTCAGCAAGGACCCATAGCATGCCTCCACACTCCTCCGCTACACCCAGATCAGGTTCAAATTTCTGCAGCCACTATTTTTCCTTATTACGTGCATCTTCCTGTCTGCACTGAAAGTTTACAAGATATCACACAAGGAAAAGGAGATCTACTTTAGTTCTTTCCTACTCTGAGCACGTGATTGTCATGTAGTACTTTTATACCATCAGCACTGAGAACATCTTCCCTTTGAACACCACACTGTGAAGAAACAGCCTTTGTCTGGTGTCTTACACCTTTAAGAGTAAAAGAGCCCGACCAGCATGGCTCAGTAGTTGAGTGTCAACCTATGAACTAGGAGGTCATGGTTCAATTCCAGGTCCGGGCACATGCCCAGGTTGCGGGCTTGATCCCGTGTGGGGTGTGTAGGAGGCAGCCGATTGATGATTCTCTCATCATTGAGGTTTCTATCTCTCTCTCCCTTCCTCTCTAAAATCAATAAAAATATTTTAGCCCTAGCCAGTTTGGCTTAGTGGATAGAGTGTTGGCCTGAGAACTGAAGGTCCCAGGTTCAATTGTGGTCAAGAGCACACGCCCAGGTTGTGGGCTCCATCCCCAGTAAAGGGCGTGCAGGAGGCAGCCGATCAGTGATTCTCTCTCATCATTGATGTTTCTTTCTTTCTCTCCCTCTCCCTTCCTCTCTGAAATCAATTAAAAAATATTTTAAAAATATTTAAAAAAACAAGAATAGCCGAAACCGGTTTGGCTCAGTGGATAGAGCGTTGGCCTGCGGACTGAAGGGTCCCGGGTTCGACTCCGGTCAAGGGCGTGTGCCTGGGTTGCGGGCACGTCCCCAGTGGGGGATGTGCAGGAGGCGGCTGATCGATGTTTCTCTCTCATCGATGTTTCTAACTCTCTGTCTCTCTCTCTTCCTCTCTGTGAAAAATCAATAAAAAAATATATTAAAAAAAAACAACAAAAAACAAGAATAATAAAATAAAAGTAAACGAAATTGCCTGGCTTGCATGGCTCAGCGTCAACCTATGAACCAGAAGGTCATGGTTCAATTTTGGTCAGGGCACATGCCTGGGTTGCAGGCTCGATCTCCAGTAGGCGGTGTGCAGGAGGCAGCCGATGGATGATGTTCCTCTCCCACTGATGTTTCTATCTCTATATCCCTTCCATTCTCTCTAAAAATCAATAAAAACGTATAAATCTTTTTAAAAAGCATGAAGTTTAGAGAGAAGTAAAAGTGTTTGTCTACTGTAGAAATGCCAGAGTCTGCTAAAATTAGATGGAATGCACTTAAAATCAAAGATGCTCCACTTAGCCAGCTGTCCTGTTCCCTTCACATGCCCACCCACACAGCTCCAGCTGGGCTCTTCCTCGGTACTCAATAGATATTTACAAAACAAAGCATATCCACTTTTAAATCAACAGATTCTGAATTTTAACTGGTATCAACCTACATAATTTTACTTCATCATTGTATCCACTATACTGACACTACTCAAATTTAGTAAATGCCTTAAAATTTCCAAAATTTTTCTCTTCTATTAAAAAAAAAAAATGAACGCCCTTGGACAGTTTCTGACAATAAAGCTAAAATTTGATCCCATGGAAGTCAATCCCCCATCCCAAGGTAGAAACGGGGCACCCACGGAACATGCCAGCACAGAGAACAAGCTTGGGGCTGGAGCCACAGTGGGTGGGGGGTCCTTCACCCTAGGCGAGCCCCAGCTCTCTAAGCCTGCATAACCCTCTGCAGATGGGAGCAACGCCAGCACCAATCTCAAAGGGCTACTCTGAAAACGGAAAAAGATCATTTGAGAAGCAGGCTTAGTATGGTGTTTGGCCCACAGTAGGTGCTCAGTGAATGCCTGTCATTCTCATGATCAGAACCCAGTGCTTGTGATGCTTAACTTCTGACACTCAACTATTTTGTAAACAGACGTCATAAGTAGGAAAACCTACAGAACAGTATCAGAATCCAGAAATGGTAATGTCTAATTCGTATGCTGATAAGGTCAACCAGTAGAAGAGCACCCTGCAATTATCCAGCGTAGTTAGTTATGTAAACAGAAATGGAGCATCCCCTCGCTAGAGAACCGTAATGGGAGACCAACTGGTTACCGCCTTCTCAAGATTTAACCGCCAGCGGCCATCTCAAGCTGGTCTGAAGGGGTCTCTCTGGAAACAGGTCAGGTAAACTGGGGTGCCCTGACTCGCTGCACCGCCCTACCCGCACCACCTCTAGGTAGGCTGGGCTCCGAGAGCGTGGTCGCCCAAGCGGCGCTGCGCCGAAGGCCAGGACGGTGTCCCCTCCCCTCCCCGGGAGCCGCGCACACCGCTCGGCCCAGGCCTCGGTGGAGTGACTCCGAGGGCCCAGCTCAGGGACCAGGGACGGCCGACCCGGCGGGCGTCGGCGGGGTTGTAAGGAGAGCTGCCTGAAACGAGGATGCCCGAAAGTCTGGGGACCAGGGAAGGTGCCTGGGGACCAGGGAAGGTGCCTGGGAACCCGTCCTCGCGGCGGTCCAAGCTGGGAGTGGCGTACACACGCCGCGACCCTCGGGAGATCGGGAGAGCATCACGGTCGGGCGCCCGGGAGCCGAGAGGGGCCGCGGGGAGGGCGGCGGAGGAGAGCACCGAGAGTGCGAGACCCGACCCGGGGAGGGGTGGGGCGTGGGCCGGTCGGGCCCGTATGCGGCGGAGGCGCCGGGCCCACAGCTACCTTGGCCAGCAGAGTCCATGCTCAGACGGCGGCCCAGCCACAGCTGGAGTCGCGGCGGGGATCTCGGACGTAGGAGCCAAACGGGCCGCGCTGGGAGTCGCTCGCCGCGCACACACCAGCCAGCGGAACCACTACAGCCGCCGTGGCATTACGTAATCAACGATGCGTCGACCCACTTCCGCTTTGACGCGTGCTTTGCTTTCGTCCCGCCCCCACCAGCGCTGTCCAATAAGGGCTTTGTCTTGTCCTGTTTCTGTTCATCTACTCCAACCTGATTGGCTAAGGCTGCGAGCGAAGCAGGAAGGGAGCCGGGTTCTGAGGAAATCCCTCCCAGGTCAACTCCACCAGTGAGACGCCAGGTAGAACGGTCCGGAGGAGCCCGGGGAAGGTGGGACGTGGGGAGACTAGCCAACATGGCGCCACGGCAACCCTTCTCACGGGCCCTTGGGAGGTTTCGAGGGTGCCCCCCGCCGCCTAAGAACGCCAGAGCTTGACGGATCCGACTCAGACCGCTTGCGATCCCTCCGAGGCCCGATCTCCTGACTTTGGGGTTAGCCTTGTCCCCGGTCTGTTATTCTTTTTTAGTGCGCACATTTACGGGGATTTTTTTTGGGGGGGGGGGGGTATGGGAGTTGAGCAGAAAAAGGCGTGACTGTGTTATGTCCTCTTGCCCTGCAAACGCTGCCGCCTTCACCAGGCGTCGTGCATGCCCTCCGCCGGCCCTGTGCACCCGTGTCCTTAGCTTGTCACATGCACACGGTGAACCAGGGGGAGCGCTCCCACTTTACAGATGAGTAAACTGAGATTGGAGTAACTTGCCAAGATCATTCAGCTAGTTGAGCGGCTTCCAGCAGACTCTGGAACAAGCGTCTAACTTGCCTAACTTCTCAAACGAGAGGTATGCAACCGTTAGGCAACCAGTCCCCCAAAGACAAGCCCCACCGCTTCCCTTCTTCATTTCCTAATCACCCCTGGAAGCAAAATCCTTAAGTGGTATTCAAAACCTTTAGGATCTGACTCTTCAGGACTGTATTCCCCACTTCCAGCCAAGCCACTCTGATCCCCAGGCATGGAAGCCACTTCCTTCAGCTAATTCCTCTTCCTGACTCAGCTCAAAACTCATCTCCCACAGGCATCTTCCTGGTACTTTAGGTCACCTATGTATCCACCTCTGCTTGTACCTGCCAGGGTGCATCATGGCCGTGTCCTGCTCTGGTGCTGTCAACTATGTGTTTGCCCCAGTTGACATTTTCAGTTTTTCCAGTTTCTTGCTCAACCCACCCTGGCCAGCCTGACCCCACAGACTGGGGACAGCAAGTAGTCCCTGCTTCATACAGTTCAGGACAGACAGTAAAGAAGTGACTGCATCTCAGATAGTGGTGAGCAGAGGGCTTATTTCTCGTTCTGTATTACATCCCTGAACTAGGAACAAGGCCTAGCCCAGGCCTGGCTCAGAGGGGAGGGCGGAGGAGGAGAAGGGGCGAGCACCAAGAGACGGAGGGGGGCGGGGAGCATGGGCCGGTGGGCCCACACTACCTTGGCCAGCAGCTACATGCCACATGGTGTGCACCTGTTACTTTGAGTCTGTGGTCCCATTGAACCCCTCTTGTAGAAGCCAGGAGTGGAGGTAGGGAGAGGACCCTATGGAGCAGTGTCACAGTCCAGGAAAGGTCCAGCTGCTAAGACCTGCTTTGTAGATGCCAATGTCCTTTCACAGCCAGGGGCAACTGGTACAGACCCTTCAACACTCAGCTTTCCCTGAGTCATCTGTAACCCAGGGTGGGTAAACAGCACCTCCGAAGGCCCCACAACGCGTGTTCCCGCCATCATTTTGAGGTGTGGAAGGCACCCATCACACAGCATTGCTATTAATTGGGTCAGGTTAATCTTTGCATTCCCTTTAGGAACTGGGAGCAGACTGGGACATCCACAAGTGTTTGAGGGAGGAAGAGAAAGGGAGCAGGGAATGCCTTACCCTTTCCCAGACACTAGGTTGGGGTCCCAGGGCAAGCCAGCTTTACTGGTTGGGGTGTGGGGAGGGGAATGGCCCTGAGGCCCTGAAGATGAGCAAAAGCACAAACGCTAGTTCTGTCGGGGGCTCAGGCTACAGCCTCCAGGGCAACTGGAAGTCCTCGGGTTCTAGCGGACTGCAATGAGTCGCTTCCACGTTCTTGAGGTGTTTGCGCGCCAGGAACAGCGCGAGTTGCCGGCGCCTACGCGAGCTCAGGCCCTGACCCACCCGCCACGGGAAGGCGAGCCCGTGCGGTCCCCAGACCTCCTCGTCCTCCTGTCTGTCCTCGCAGTGAGCGCGGTAGGAGCGCAGCAGTGCCAGGCACCAGTCGTCATCCACGTGGTAGCGCGCATAGAAAGAGGCTTCCTGTGCCAGGCTGCCCGCGCGCAGCCAGCGGGTCACGATGGCGTAGCCCTCACGCGCCATCACAGCCGGGTAGCGGTGCTGCAGCAGGCGCAGGAGCAGCTCGTTGCCGCGGTTGCCCTCCACGTCGCCGGACGGCAGGGGGCGCAGATGGCCGGAGGTGCTGACCACGTCGTCCAGAGTTCGCCGGAGCAGCAACACCGGCCCGGGGTAGCTGCACAGCTGCTCCGCGACATTGAGGTTGAAATGTTCACGCACGGTGCGCACCACCAGTCCCTTCCAGCTCTGGGGCATGACCTTCAGGGCCAGAGGCACGAGGTCGTCGAAGGTGGCATCAAGCACCAGTGCACCCAGCTCCGGGTAGGACATGGTGGCCCAGGTGGCTGTGAAGCCGCCGATGGACCAGCCGTAGATCACCACGTGCGCCGGCGGGAAGCGCAGGCGGTGCAGTGCGTACTTGATCACCACATCAATGGCGTTGGCGTCGTGCTGAGGGAACGGCTCACCGGTGCTGCCCCCGAAGCCCGGGTGGTTCCAGCCCAGCACTGAGTAGCCAGCCTCCAGCGGCGCGGACAGGCAGCCCATCTCATAGAAGCCGGCGTTGCCTTCACAGCAGATGACCAGGCGCAGGCCGCGGCCCTGGCTGCCCGGGTGTTGGCGGCGATCCATGAACATGGTGTCGATCTCGTTGCCATCTCGGGCCACCAGCTTGGCACGCCGGCCGTGGTAGCGCTCCACGAGGCGTTCTTGGCCCTGCTGCAGCAGCGGCAGCAGCGCTCGGGTCATCAGGAACATGGAGCCCGGGTACACGAGCCAGCGGCCCAGCGAGTGGGCCAGCGCGTAGCTGGCCAGCTGGCCGGGCAGCTCTCGGATCTGCTGCAGAAGGCACTGCAGCTGGCTGCGCGACCTGTGTAGCGGCCTCCCCGGCGCGCCCCCGCCCAGCGCGGCATCCTGGAGCAGCCACACGCCAGCTGCAGCTGCCGTGCATGTCAGCGCGCGGTGACTGCTGCCCCCCGCACGGGCGCCCACGTCATCCCAGCGGAAGTCCACGGGCCAGCTGCGGAAGTTGTAGGTGTAGTTGGCGGTCAGGTAGATCTTGAATACGTGCACCAGCGCTTTCACGAAGCAGACGATACACATGGGCGTCGAGGCTGTTCTGCGGGAACTCTAATGCGCAGTTTCCGGGGACCCCGACCAGGCCCAGCGGGCGCTGCAGGGGCTAGCACCGCTCTGAGCTGTCCTGGGTGGTGCCTCCTCGCCTGTGGCATCTGCACCAGTCTGCTTTGTGAGTCACTGTTGCTGGGGGAGGGGCTACACACTGTGATGGGCTCATAAAGGGTTCCCAGGCTCTCAAGTGCTGCCCCACCCTTGGGACACAAACGCCCTCCCTATGCCCTCCTTGACTATATCTCCCCCATCCCTGCTTCACCCACCTCCCCTTTAAACAGAGGCAGGAGATTCCCACACTGGAGGTAAAGGGAGCCAGGGCAGGCCCAGCAGCTCTGGGGGCAGGCTGTCTGAGCATTTGCAAAGACAAAGTAGTCTGGAGAAGCAGGGTGGAGGTAGGAGCGGGTAGTGGAGGGGATAAGGTGGGGGTGTCGAGGTTCCCTGCCCAGACCTGTGCTAGATGCCCCCAGCCCTCCCTGTGCACTGAGCAGCCCAGGAACTCCGACAATGGGCTGGTGGGCCCTGCTGGAGCAGGGAGGCAGCCTGTGCTCAGGGGTGTGGCCCTACCCCTCCACACCTTATCTTCTCAGAAAAGGGGCGAATGCAGGTGGAAACCCCCGCCTGTTCCGGATCCTCTTTCCAAAGGCACCAGCACAGCAGTGACCTTCTCCAGGTGGGCCCTTCCTGGTCAGTGTTCCTCATTTTCAGCCCCTGGTCAAGCCCTCCTCCACCTAAAACCGCCCCCACAAGATATATCTTCCTCTTTTCTAGAAGGCTCCAGTGGGTTCCCCTTTTTCTCCACCAGAGTGGGCCAGTCCACCAGAGGGTAAAGGTGGCAGGGTAGAGGCCACAAGGGGAGCCAGGGAAGAGCCAGACAGGGGCCTCATTCAACCATTGCCTGGACCTGAAACAGGAATTTGGCAAAGCCAGCCAGCCTCCGGCAGCCCAAGAGCCTTCCGGGGAGAGGGTTCCCGGACCAGTAGCCCTCTCTGTTTCCCTGTGTGTCTGGGTCGTAGGCACAGCAACCCAGTCAGCCCCACCACTTGGGAAGCAGAGCTGAGAGCATTCCTGCCCTTAGGGGGTGGAGGGCAGCATGGGTCAGTGGGCAAGGAGGCTGGGTTGGGAGGGTTGACTGTCCCCTAGGGTTTCCAGATAAAAGACCGAATACCCAGTTAAATTTGAATTTCAGATAAAGAGCAAATACTTTTTGAGTATAAGTATGTCCTAAATATTCCATGGGACATACTAGATACCCTGTTTGTCGGTTGGTTTTCGCTAAATCTGGCAACTCCACCCCCTGCATCCACCCCCAGCTGGAGAGACCCAGATTTCCCAGCTCTGCTTCCAGATTGGGCTGCTCTGCTCATTGGCCAGGGCCTGAGGCCCAGATAATGTCTAAGGGCCCACGGGTGCACCTGGGCAACGGGCCCCTTCCAGTTCCTCTGCCCTGCAACCACCCCACCTCTTCACTGCCCCAAGAGGGAGCCCCCTGGGCACCACAACTGGGTCAAAGGATGGGTGGAGGTGGGGGGTGGGATGGGTGGTCCTCCTCCCATTAAATACCCCTCTTCCCCCCTCCACCGGCCCTGTGGTTAGAGGGGAGGTGTAATCCTTGGGAGAGGGCAGGGCATTTACTCTCCAGGAACCTCTTTCATAAACTCGGGTGCCTGGGGAGGCCCAGTGCTGACCCAGAGGCTCCAGGCTCGTTTTGTGAGACCAGAGGAGTAACCCCAACAGAGCAGAGGGCTAATTGCATCCTCAGCCAGACCGGGCAGATGTGGGGGATCCTGGAGCATCGCCCACACAGTGTGTGGGATGCGCCACATTTTGTTCTGACCCCCCAGAAGTCTTGTCCTCCTGGGGCAGTCTCCCTGCTGGCTTCCTTCAGCCAAGCCCACCTGCCCTTGGTTCCCCAGGAAGAGCAGGGTGGGGAGGTGGGGAGGTGCAGGGGTTGGATTCTGAGGGGCAGAAGTCAGCAGGCTGGAGCTGCTGGTCCCCTGGAGCCCTTGACCTGTGTCTGGCCTGACCCCTGACCAGCCCCCCCGCCCCACCCCAACCCATACCCATGGGAGCCTGAGTGCCCCAGAACCACCAGCTCTGTTGGACAGGAAGCATGTGACAGGAAGGGAGCCCTCCTCCCACTGTCCCCACCAGAAGAGCCTCCAGACCGGACCAGCTGCAGTGACCTCTTCTGCTCCAAGAAGGTGAGGCTATGTCCGCAATCGTCAGTTCTCAGTTCCAGGAGGCAACCCCCCCCCCCAACCCCCACCCCCAGTGTCTGCAGGCAGACACCTAAGTATGCACCCACCTCCACAGAGCCTGCTGGGCTCTATGACCTCTGGCCTTCTCCCCACCCTCCCTCCAGGCCAGCTCTGCTCAGTCCCCCTGGAGGCCCAGATTGATGCTGCAGACTGCAAAGCCGACCTTGGAGAAGGAATGGAGAGAGAGAAAACCAGTCCTAGCAGCTGGATGGGCTGGGCAGGATCGGCCCCTGGCAGAGGAGGTCTGACCACAGCGGCCCAGGCTCCAGGAGCCGGGCCAGGGCTGGGGACAGGAGCTGAGCCTGCTCAAACGCCTCTGCTCAGGAAACCGGGAGCTGGGAAGATGGGGGCTGGCTCAGAGCCTGAGGACAGGAGGGGACGCTTCCTGACGGATGTGGGGTCAGAGAAGGGGCGGAAATGGCCACGACAGCTGCTGAACATCTGGAATCACAGAATTACCCAGCGCCCTCAAGGATGTTGGGTTGGTGGGGGAGTGGTACGTGCCCAGGCCCTCTTCCTGCCTCCCTGCAGGCCGGGCTCAGCTTCTCCTCACACTGTGCATCCATCGTCAGGGTCAAGTCCGGGTTGGGGTCAAGGGCCCTGCAGCTGGTCTGATGGGGGCTGAGTTCCCTGAGCTCCGTCCCCTGGGCGGTGTACCGTTTTCACAGACTCCAGTGCATGCCATGGCAGGCTCCTGGGATGGTCCTAGAACCCCATGCATGAACTGGGAAGGGTCCCTGCCACCCCTGCTGCCACACCTGGCTGGGCAGCCTCACAGCCGGGCCTTATCCCTGCTACCACTGTAACACCCGGCACAGGTTTGGTGGCTGGTGAGTGCTTAATTCTTGTTTTGTTCTTCAACATGCAGTGAGACAGGATATAAAGTTAGCGGTCCTTTCTCGGGCCCTCCCTGGCACCCAGAAATGTCCTGATGTGCCCTTTCACACCTTTCCTTTTTGCCTACAAACGCCCACAACGTAAGTCCTGACTAGGGTGGTCATTTTATTATTTGCACCCCAGCTGCCATGAGCCCCCCTGGTGCCTGCCGGAACGGAAGGGGTGTGTGTGCCCAAGGCCAGGAGATCTGGTGGAATTGCTTTTCCAAAAGCGCGTGCTGGCCTGAGTCCTGCGTGGGTGCTGGTCCAGCCGCAAACGGATCAGCTGGTGCTTTTTGTACCTGTGGTCCATAGTTTAATGCATGTTGACTGATCCCGACCTGCTGACAAGGCCGGCACCAGAAGCCCTTCCCGCGCGCGGCAGGCGATCCGCCCCACTTTTTGCTCCCTGCCCCTTGGAGACCCCTCACCTGTGCGACCGCGCCAGGCGCTGGGTGGTGGCCATCTAGAAACCACGGCCTGGATCTCAGACAGCAGCCCCGGCTCTGGTGTGGAGAGGGGTGAGAGGAAGGGAGGAGCGCACGCAAAGGGTGGGCGCCCCTCCGCCAGAAAGTCCGGTCTCGGGGTCCGCCGCGTTCCTCGCCCGTGTGGGACTCCAAACACCCGCGTTGGGGAGGGAAAGGGGCGCCGTCCAGGGTCCAGACAGGCGCCCAGCCCGAGCCGGCAGCGCCCATTGCGAGCCCGCGTTCCCGGAGGAGCCTCTCCTGGCAACGCTCTGACTCCCCAGGGGGCGGGCGAGGGGGGCGCACCTCTCCTGGTCCCTCCACGTTGTGGAACCATCCACTTTTTTGAGAAGATGGTGCGGCCGCGTGGAAGGTGGAAGGTGTCACCGAGGGGGCAGATCGCACGGCGGCCCTGGGGAGACGGGAGGGGGCCTGGAGCCTCCGGCCAGGGGCGGGGCGGGCATTTCTGCGTAGCCCCTCCTAGTACCCGGGTCGGCCGTCACCCCGAAAGGGGAAAGCGGTGGGTGGGGGTCCCGTAGGGCAGATGTGGGGGGAGGGGGTGACCTCCAGGCCTGCCTGCCCGGCGGCGTGGGCTGACAGCTGCCTGGCGCAGGGTTTGAGGCTCAGGAGTGGGGCTCCTGCTTGACCCTGAGTCGGGGGAGCCGGGGCCCTGCGGCTGCGCAGGGTGGATGGGGTGGGGGCTGGGGTGAGGGGAGAGCCGTCGCGGACGGGGAGGGACTCTGCAAGGCCACCGCGGACCTCGACGGGGACAGGACGAAGGGCCAGGATCCCCTCTGCCCCGCGGGGGTCCCAGCTGGAGGAGCCGCTGTCCTTGGACCCCACCGCCGGCACCTCCCGAACTTGCGCTGAGCGGATCTAGGTTACAGCCGTCGCGGCTCCTTCTACGTCTCCTGCACAGATTAAAAACGGCAACTGTCCCGGAGCCGACCCCAGGGGACCCTGAAAGCTCCCTCCCCCACCCCCTGGCTCACAGGCACGCTCTGTTCTCAGCGTCGGCCGAGCTCTGGGCGGCTGCTCTCAGCCCTGCGCCCCCACCGCTGGGGATCTGGCGCGAGGTCCAGCCCACCTCCGCGGCGGGTGGGAGCCGGGTCACTCCAGGGCGGGCCCAGACAGGCAAGCCCTTCTTTCCCCTGTCCCTGCCCCTCCCGGCTGCCCCAGGTCTTCAGGCAAAAAAGAGTGGAGAGAGAGGGGAGGAGGTAAAGGGAAGAAAAGGAAGCCTCACCCCAGCCTGGGACCTGAGGGCCAGGAGGGGTGCCCCACCTTGGCTCCTGTGGTTTCTCTAATGGGGTGCACTCCAGGGTGACCCCACGTGGACCCCCACATCATGCAGATGAGAAAACATCACCACCCCAAGGGGCCCCTGCACCAGGACAGGCTCTGGGGACCAGGAAAGTATCTGGGCTTTGGGTCTGAGCCCACCCAGGAAGTCTGTGAGGGGGGAGGAGGAAGCAAAGGAGAGAGCCCATTACGCCCCCTTCAGGCCTCCACCCTGCTGGAGACCCACGCTGACCGCAGGGCTGCCCACCCTGGCTGCTTTGAAGCTGCTGGAGCCGACTCAGCTGCCAGGAGCTGGTGCTCACCCGGCCCCTCTGCTGGCTGCGTGGGAGCTGAGGAGTGACCACAGGTCTTTGAAGTGCAGGGGTGAGGCTGCAGGAAGTGGGCAGTAGCCCACCCAGGCCCTGGGCCCACCCCACAGGAGGCCTTGTGCTCACCACCTTGGCTGCCCAGGTGTGTAGGGGGTGGGGACTTGAGTGGGAGAAAGGAAGGGGCTGCCAGGCGACTGTGTCCGCAGCCTCTGGGGCCCAACCCCAGCCCTCGTTTTGCCCAGGCTCCTGCGGGTGAGGCAGTGGGGCCAGGATTTGGTCCCTCTCCCTCAGCTAAAAATAGCAGCCTGGGCTGTGTGGAAAGCCCCAGGTCCGGTGGGGGAGGAAGCAGCAGGGCCACTGCCTGGGGTGGGGAGGAGGGAGGCCTGGCAGGAAATGCCTGTGCCCTGCCCACTCCCCCAGCAAAGTCTGGGTTCAGCGGGCACAGTCCCCTGGAAAGTCCCAGGGGTGCCTTGGGACCTACACAGGGCAGGAACCTCCTGATCCCTCAGGCTGGGCCCTGCCCAGCTGACCCCTCCTGGGCCTGGGCTGGTCTCCTGCCATGGACACAGGAGGGCAGGATGAAGGTAGTCCTTTCTCCCTCAGTCATTCCCTGCACAGATGACCTGAACTGTCTGACCCTCCATTCTCTCCCTTTGCCATCCCAACAAGAATCACAGTCACTGAAGCCTGCCGCGGGGCCAGCCTGGGCTGAGCACCAGTGTCTGTCCCTCCCCAGGGTGCTTGCTGAGCATAAGCAGGGTCTTACCCAAGGGAGGGCTTTTCAGGAAACAAACCCAGCAGCCCTCAACCTGGAGGTGGGGAGGGCAGGAGAGGGGCCAGTAGCTGAGAACAGAACGATGGGTAGGAATTAGGCCTTAAATTAGATTGTGGAGAGGCGGCCTGACCCCGGGGGAGGCGCTGGCGAAGAAGGGAACGTGGCCTCTTGGAGGAATAAGAACCAGGCTGGAAGCTGGGGGCAGCGAGGGGGGTGGGCAGGAATGAGGCTGCAGATGGGGTAAGGCTTTGTAGATGGGTGAGCAAGTTGAAAGAAAGCTACTTCTCAGAAACCAGAAAGACTTTTAGCAAGAAAGTTCCAGACTCACGTTTGCATTTCAGAGAAATCACTGCCTCCTGGCGGAAGAGCTGGTGGGGAGTGTTAAGGCTGGAGGGAAGGCTCCAGAAGGCAGAAGAGCTGTGCCCACACAGGTCGCCCTCGCTTCCAGGTGTGGGAGCAGCACTGCAGAGTGGCCCTGGAGGAACATGGGGGACCTGGGGTGTCGAGGGTCCACTCCAGGGGAGGCCTTCTGGTGGCACCAGTCTTCCTGGGGTGACTTTCCCGGCAGTGAGCAGTGGCTTAGGTATTGGCAGGAGAAAGTGGGTGGTTGGGGTTTCTCCAAGTGATGCCATGAGAGGGCAGAAATGCTCATACTTCCTGTATTTTTGAAAGAAAAAAATGAAATCTAAACTGGGTAAGAAGGAAGCCAAAGAGAGGGGAAGGCTGCGTGTTGGGAGAAAAAAGGGTTGTTCCTGGAGCTGGGGGCTTTGGTGAGGTGCCACAGCTCTGGGCAAGCTGAGGGCTGTGGCCACAGAGAGAGAAGGTGGAAACCATTTCCAAGTAGGTGTGGGTTTTCAGGACAGTGTGCTCCGAGATGTGACGGAGTGGGTGGCTGCATGTCTCCAAGGTAAAGAGGAGGAGGCATTTGAAGAGGGGCCCACATGATGTCTCCCAGTGAGTGTAGAATGTTGGTGAGGCAGGAGAGTAAGCAGCTAGGAAAATTCCTGGGCAAGCGACTGAGGAAACTGAGATAAGAAAATTTAACAAGGCTAAACAGTTTGGGGGAACTTGCAGCCAGCTTGTGAATCGAAAGACCTTATCTTTCCCCAAACAAGGGCACTTGAGAGCAAATGGTTTATACCCTCCTCCCTAACCTGATAATACATAGCTTCCATCACCCTGGCCTGGGAAAGAGAACAAAGACCCACTTAATGCCACTTCTGCCAGCTACACCCAAGGACAGGTGAAGTCTGAGGACAAATAAACACTCCAAAAGCATTTGGATGGTATCACTTGAGGGGAGAATGTTAGGCAGGATGGACAGCTGCTAGGGCAAGAGGAGGAGAAGGGAAAAAAATGGGGGAGTTTATCTCACCCACTGAACAAAGAAGTCAAGCAGTCTTAGGACTTGCCACAGTAAAATCACCAGATGTTCTCTAAATTCTGGGGAAAGCTGCAACAGTCTAAAAGGGGGACCTTGGCCCTAGCCGGTTTGGCTCAGTGGGTAGAGCGTCGGCCTGCGGACTGAAGGGTCCCAGGTTTGATTCCGGTCAAGGGCATGTGCCTTGGTTTCGGGCACATCCCCAGTAGGAGGTGTGCAGGAGGCAGCTGATCGATATTTCTCTCATCGATGTTTCTGACTCTCTGTCCCTCTCCCTTCCTCTCTGTAAAAAATCAATAAAATATATTAAAAAAATAAAAAATAAAAGGGGGACCTTGAAACCTATAGGGCTAAAAAGTATATAATCCTTGAACCCCTACCAAGCAGGGCACTCAGACTAGCTGAGTTGCCGGCTTGTGCTTTATGCTGAGTGTATTTTTTTTTTGACAGATAAAAAATTGTTTTTACTTAAAAATATAAAACTGGCCTTACCCCTCCTAACTGCTCCCACCCCCAGTTATCCCCACAAAGAACTATAGAAAGTGGGTAAGGGCATGTGTACAGCTCTCTCAGGCTAACAATTCCAGTTCTTCTTTCAACCTCTTTTCCCCCTTTCATACAAGTAGACACTGGCCCTCTGCTTTTTCGCCAAGATCTCAGAAGTGACACGAGGTAGAGGGAGGGGAAGGGTCGGAAAGAGCCGTCTGTCGCCATTCTCCGTTTCCGTCTCCATAGACTGAACAGGTTGTCTGGACACTGAGCGAAAGATCTTGTCCACAAAACCAAGTAATAGGGACAGTGCCTCTCTGTACCTAAATCAGAAAGATGAGAAGGTCCAAGGTGCTGTTTAGGGTCCCTACTCAGTAGATAGCCTCATCCACATTGTCATCACTGTCAACCCCAAAGTCCTCTCCATTGTCGAAATATGACCTGATGTAACCAGTTCCCTCTCCGTGTTCTTCATCGTACTCCTCTTCCTTCTCCTCCTCCTCAGCTTCCTCTGAAGTTGCTTCTTCCACCTCCTTCTCCAGGGTCTCCAGTCTCTGTATTGCTTCCTCTATATTCTGTGGTCTTGGAGGGTCTCTTTGGAAGTAGAACGGTGGTCCGCTCCTGTAGCTTCCTCACTAGGATCCTTAGCTCCTGGGGCAGACATCGCCAATCAGGGTTCCAGTCGATGGCACTGTCAGTCGGCCCTGACATCTGATATTTGTCTGAGTAACGCTCCACACCTCCCCTGGGCACAGCTGGCCGGATGAAGTAGGGGAGCTGCCTCATGGCTCCTTGCAGTTCCTGCTTCAGCGCCAGGACATATTCCCCTTCTCCCAAGGGCAGAGGCATGGGGCGGAACTGTTGGGGGGAGAGGGGAGAGTGGAGAAGGCTGCAGTGTGGGTGAGGGCAGAGCATCCCCCTTCCCAATGCCCACGGCCTCCATGTTGAAGGTCAACTGGCCATGGCCCCGCCCCCGCCCTGGCTGGCTGTGGTGGAAGAGGCCTGGGTATTTCAGAGATCCAATGAGAACCCCCTGCCGCCCCTCCCCCATTGGAAGCCGAGGCTGCAGCCAACCTGGAATCTGCTGAGTGTGTTCTTAATAAATTCACTCGCCTTGCTTCAACACTGCTTTCTGTCACTCATCTGAATTCTTTCTCGTAGGTGTGACAAGAGCCAAGGAGGGGAGGAGCCCTCTCTGACTCAGGCAGCTCTTGGGTAACATTGGTACCTGAAATCTCCAAAAAGGGACAAAGGAGGCCTCCCAGCCTTCACCATTACAGATGCCCATGTCCATCACGGCAGCACCTCCCCAGCATCCCCATTCTGCTCATCACCTCGCTACCTCAGTTCCCCATCAGTATCACCCAAGTCCACACCACCACCCTTCACTCATTCACCAGTGGACAGATATCTGTCAAGAATATATCTCCATGAGGAATCCTGTGTTATAGTAATCATTATGGTACTTAATGGTAGGACCTTAGAATGTAAGACTTAAAACGTGTAACCCTGTGTGTACCGTTATAGTCATTATTATAGTACCTAATGTTAGATATAGGAATACTGTATAAGACCCAAGAATTCACCCTTGTAACCCAACTAGTACTGGTAAACAACCTATCTGATGGGAACGCCCAAAGCCTGTACACACCCATAGATTAGCAGACCCCGGGTGGATCCACACATGGCAGCCGAGGATAACACACACACCAACAAAGACCACGCCTACAGAGGGGTATATAATCAGATAGTCTGATCGACCCAGCAGTGCACAGCTCTCCTGTCGCCAGAGCGTGAGGACCTGTGTGTGCTCATGTCTCGGTTCCCAGCACGAAACTCTGCCCAATTAACTGTCGACCGAGGAAAGAGCCAGCAGCCAAAGGCGCCGTCTACCCCTTTGTGTGTGTCAGCAAGGTGGGTGGATCCTTCCCAGCATCTGAGACCCGTCAGGAACTGGTAAATAAACCCCCTGTGTGCTTGCATCTAACCTGTTTGTCTGTGTGTAATTTCTCCTGCTAAGCTCAGATCTCGGTGCTGTCTCTGTGAAAGTGTCTGACCAGAAGGTACTGGCGCAAGCCTCAAGCGGATGGTCCAGACCACCTGTGCATGTCCCACTTAGGAGCAGCACCTATATGGGAACCCCCCTGCACCTCGACATAGGTGACGGGCCTTAAATATATAAAAAATAGAAGCTATTTGGGACATCCTGTTGGGCTGTGGTCATGGCAACAAGCAACACAGGTGAGGACCTACCCTTGGGGAACTTACAGTGGTGGGGAGACCGAAGACAAACATGTAAAAAGATTTAGAAAACATGAAGCACAATGGATGACCCAGCAACCCCACTGCTAGGATTTACCCCAAAGATGTGGACACTCACACCCAGAGCTGCCCTAAAACCTGTGCCAGCTGCAGGAGTCCTGACGGCTCCAGGTGGGAAACACCCGTGTCCATCCCCTGGCGAATGGACCAACAGACTGGGGGCCGCTACAGGATGAAAAGAAAAGGAGCAAACTACTCACAAAGAGTGCATTGCAACGGCCTTCTGGCAACCAGGCACTGTGCGGCTTCACGCATGGGAAGTCCTGGAAAAGACCCCTTGTGACAGCACACCTGGCGTCGGCAGTGCCCAGGGCAGCCGTGGGCAAACTATGGCCCGCGGGCGGATCCGGCCCATTTGAAATGAATAAAACTATTGAAAAAAAGAGACCGTACCCTTTTATGTAATGATGTTTACTTTGAATTTATATTAGTTCACACAAACACTCCATCCATGCTTTTGTTCCGGCCCTCCGGTCCAGTTTAAGAACCCATTGTGGCCCTCGAGTCAAAAAGTTTGCCCACCCCTGGCCCAGAGGATGAGCGTCTCGACTCCGCAGCTTTTGGGGTGATAGGAGTGGTCTGTGTCACAAGAGGGGTGATTACATAACTTATACATTTGTCAAAACTCTTCAAATTATATGTTTGAAATTGGTGAATTCATTGTATGTAAATTATACTTCAACAAAGCTTGATTTTTAAGAAGACATAAAGCAGGGGTCCTCAAACTTTTTAAACGGGGCCAGTTCACTGTCCCTCAGATTGTTGGAGGGCCGGACTATAGTTTAAAAAAAAAACTATGAACAAATTCCTGGAGAAACCAAGATGGCAGCATAGGTTAACGCCGGAGATTGCTGCCTCGAACAACCACTTCAAAAAACAACTAAAAGACGGAACGGACATCATCCAGAACCACAGGAAGGCTGGCTGAGTGGAAATTCTACAACTAGGAGGAAAGAGAATATCATACCCAGACTCAGAGGAGGCGCAGTGCTGAAGTGAAATACTAAGGTGCGGAGTGCACCCCGGAGCAGGTGGAGGGCACGGTTTTTGTTTTCAATCAGGAGGGAGTTTCAGATTCTGAGCTCCAGATCCAGGCGAATCTCTAGGGACCCAGACTCACACGGGAGAAGCGGGACTGTCTGGCTTCGGTCGGAACTCGAAGGCAGCTTTCTCTCCGAGGTTTGCAGCGGTTGCTGGGACTCTGTGAGGCAGAGCCCCTAGGGACAGAACTGAGAGCAGCCATAACTACTCCCTCCGGCCCGCCCTGTAGATCCCCGGGGACCCGCCCCACCCAAGCCCTGTGCAGAGCCATTTGCCGGATAGCCTCAGGCAAACACTAGATTAGCACCACCCTAGAGATCCAGCACAGAAGCTCTCCCACTGCAGACACAGCGGACTCTCATAGCCAGTTAGCCTGGAGGTCAAATCACCCCCGGTATTGCCGACAACAATCA